CTTGCCCAACACAAGTTATAAATTCGGGCACCGCCGGGAATCGAACCCGGGACCCCAGGATTACAAGGCCAGCGTTCTAACCGCTAGACCACCGTGGCAGGATCGACTACCCTGTTTGTTTACAACGCGGTTATGAAGTACAGAAGTTATTTAGCGTCTTAGAATACTTTGAAACGCTTCTAAGCTGCTTAGGCTATGAAGTGTTGAGTGGTAAGTTGATGGTGTGACTGATGATTTAGAAATAACGTTGAAAGAAGCGATCATGACGTATCTTAAAGCGTTTCCTAATAAAACCACGCAAATCCCAATCGTGACAGTCACGACTGAAATTCGAACGTGGTACTTCTATAACAACCCGCACGCGTTCATCGTCAGGGTAGACGGAAAGGTCGCATTTCTTTTATTGGTTACTCTGACCAGTTGAAAGTCCATCGTGCGTTTGCAGACACGAGTAGGCCCTCGTATTCAATTCCTCCATGGTAATGTAGTAGCGATATTCGAGATTTTGTCAGGCAGGGACGGGGAAGGAGTTTAAGATAGCAGAGAGAACATTGGGCTTTGAGGATCGGACAGATTACTATATCGCGAAGGACTGGAAGTTTCTTGTACTGATGGGCTTTGGAACCAGAGATGCTGGAAACAGCTGAAGATCATTCCGTCTTTACTGCGCTGGTTAATGAAGCCTTGACCTGTCCCGAATTTTCTAGGTTTTCCTCAGTGTCGGGGTCAAACACAGGACAGTATCTTGAACGAGGCAACGACTAACCCCTTCCAAATCCTTACTCATTCGTCTTTGAGGCTACGTTTTTAACGTACGTATTCGAAGCAACCAGACAGAATTTTTTCTGCAATTATATGTTGTGTATCCGAGTTAATCGGTTTTCCCGTCTCCTTACAGATCCCTTCCGGGCCCCTCTCTCCCTTCTCAAATTGCCCATTCGAAATTTCGTTATAACTAAAAGTCGTCTGCGTTGTTCACTGTAGCCTCCGTGACCCTTAACTCGTTCCTCATTTCACTGCAATGAACTCGCGGACCCTTGGCGAATAGACCGTGTTCATGTATGAATAATACATGAAGGTCTAAATTCCGGTTTGTGTGTGCGTCACAAGGAGGAGAGGATATTGACCGTGCGCCTTTGGATGATGGTATGTGACCACGACCGCCACGGTGGTAAAGCGGTTAGAACGCTGGCCTTGTAATCCTGGGGGTCTCGGGTTCGATTCCCGGCGGTGCCCGAATTTATAACTTGTGTTGGGCAAGGCCGTGGTCTAGGCAACACGGAGTTTTCCTCCGTGGCATCCCAACAATTACTCCATTCACACACAGAAGAAGGCAATGGCAAACCACCTCTGGATCATCTGCCAAGAACGTATATGAACAAGTCCCAGTCCGAGAAAAGGATGGAAGAAGGATCCTGTTCATATGGACCTGACCTGTCGTCA